TGGCTCAGTAATTTAACCTCTCTGAATCTTCAAAACTGACTTAAATTATTATTGTAAAACATTTTAGATGTACCAAGTTGTAAAGAGGCTGTAACACACCCATGAACCCACTGCCCGTTAAGTCTATATTACCAATACAGACGAAGCCCCTTTTGCCCCTCTTCTCTTCCTCCCTGCCCCAGAGGTTCTAATATCTTCTTCATATGTAAAATTGGGGTGTTAATACCTATTTTACAAGGTGGTTATAAGATTAGATGATAATGTTTGGAAAGTGCCTGGCACACAGTAGAGTTGGGCTAAATATTCACTTCCACTCTGAACTGTATAGTTGTGCAGGTTACGTGCAGAAAAAGATTCCATGTCTATAGGAATGCCATAGACTTGTGCATTTATTTCTACAGTTTTACAGTAGATGGCAGTAAAATACCTGGTTCTAGAAGAAAAAAATCCATGCATTAAATGACAGGTTTTCAACAGATGCAGGTTGTTTCTAATTTCCATGAAGGCCAGCATTGCCCTGTTCTCACCCCCTCTCACTCTTCTCCTCTAAGAGTCTATCACTCTTATCTCCTCTGAATTTTTAATTTCTCTACTGAAAGCCAAATATTTTTGCACTATAGCAAATTACAGTCTGGATTTGCCTCCCTGTGGTCATAATCACCAGAGATTCTTAGTGGTCTCAATGTAAGAAGCTCTTCCCCAGGCACCTCCAGATGGGAGTTTATAGGATGGACAGTCCCTTTCTTAGGGAAGTTCCCGAGGGGATTGGGTATTTCTGAGTCGGCTTTACTCTTGCATCATCTGCTTGGACAGAATTTTCTTGGCTCCTCTAATGATGAAAAGGAAAAGCAGCAGCAGCTGGCAGCTGGTTTCCTGATTTCACCCTGTGAGTCAGAGTCTCGGCTACAGCTAAACATTTGTAGACTTATCTAGAAAGGGAGCACTTTGCTCCTCTGTGTTGAACAGTTCTGGGAACTCCATGGTGAACTTCCTATGAAGAAACCTAAATACCCACAGCTCTCCACACCTCATTCTTTTCCCTGCTCACCCACTCAGCTCTGTCCCCTCAGCCCAGAATCAGAGTTTCTTATGGACTCATTTTCTTGACTGGTCTTTCCAGAATTCGTTTATAAAATATGCCGCTCAACAAACGTGTTGATGTCTGCGAGCCTGGTCCTACGCTAAACACTGGAGATTGGGAGAGATGAGACGCAAGCAGAAAGGCAGGAAACAAATTGTTCCCCAGGAAAAAATCATATTGCTAGTCAGCATGGTGGATTGAGCTAACTCGTAAGTACCCACCTCCTGCTCCAAATATGTGAGGATGCTGACTGACATAATTTACTTTCAAATAAATAGCCAATTTCAAAGAAAAAAGTGGAAATTCCCAGGTGGCAGAAAGGAAGACAGCATTCATCCTGAAGGTAAGTGGGTATTGAAGTCACAGTGAGCCCCCAACACAAGGCTTGGATACAGATGGGCCTCAGAGCATAGGGGCTAAGGTTTGAATGCCCCCAGGGAGATAGGAGACAGCCTCAGTGCCTCTGAAGGTAAAAACAAAGAATCCCCTGGCACTTGAAAGAAAAGGCTGCTTCTGGGAAAAAGATTAGAGGAAAACAAAATATTAGCTGTAGTTGCTTCTGGGAAGGGAGTTTGTGATGTTGTACAAAAACTCCTTAGGAAGAAAGAAGTCCTGAACTCTTGGGGGAGGAAGAATGGTCAGGAAAGCCTTCCCAGAGGAGGGACTGCTGGAGCTGGCTTGAGAGAGGTCCAGCCTTAGCAGGTTCGAGCTGCCAGAGCCCGCACTTGCCATCAGAACCCACGTCTCTTGCTTAGTTCTGCTTCTTGGACTGCCTTTTCATAGCTGTGCTTCCAGGAATCCCTGTCCAGGTTTCTAACAAATCATTATAGATAAACTTTCTTTCTCTTGCTTTTTGCTCTCTGGTCCTTTCAACAAAAAACACATTTATCCTCACACAGATCTCTAGGTCAGCTATAGTTCAACTGACCTAAACTGGTTCAGCCAAGCAGCTCTGCTTCAGGTTGAGGATTGACTGGACTGGACTGGGCTCCTGTGTTGATTGGTTTCAGGTTTGCTCCATGTAGTTCCTTCTGGGTCCCATGCCGAAGTTGCGGCAGCTACCCAGGGCACGTTCTGGTGGATTGCTGGGGCACAAGAGGCCAAAGGACAGACACCAAGCCAGAGAGAAATCCAAGAAGCTCTAAGAAGACCAAGCAAACTTATACACAACTAGGCATATCCTATTCAAAATGCTAAAACAGAAGACAAAAATCTTAAAGGCAGCTCAGAGAAAAAAATGACATTGCCTACAGAGGAAGCTAAGAATTATCAGAGACCATGCAAGCTAGAAGACAATGGAGTGACTTTAGGGCTGAAAGAAAAACAAAACAGTCAATTTAGAATCCTATACCCACTGAAAATATCTCTCAAAATGAAGAAGAAATAAAGCTTTTTCTCAAAGAAAAACTGAGGGAATATATTGCCAGAAGAAATATTAAAGGAATATTAAATATTAGAGGAAGTTCTTCAGACAGACGGAATATGATGCCAGACAGAAACTTGCATCTACACAGTGAAATTAAGAGTACTGGAAATGGAATAAATGAAAGTAAATTTTTTTAAAAAAATTAATTGCCTTAAAAAAATAATTGAAGTCTAAAGTAGGAGGTCATCAAACTTTCTGTAAAGGAACAGATAAATAGTTTAGGTTTTGCAGGTTATATGATCTCTTGCAAGCAATCTACTGTTTGTGGCATGAAAGCAGTCTTAGACAATAGGTAAGTGAGCATGGTTGTGTTTCAGTAAAACTATGGACTCAGATTTGGATTTCATATAATTTTTATGTGCCGCAAAGTATTCTACTTTGATTTTTTTGCCAATAATTTAAAATTGTAAAAGCCATTCTTAGCTCAGGGGCCATACAAAAGCAGTCAGTGAGCTGGTTTTGGCATGCATGTGGGTCATCCTTTGCTGGCCCCAGGTCTAAAGCAAAAAAACTAGCAATGAATTGTGTATTTATAGTGTACGTTAAATTTTTTAAATGTGAATAAATGAATTGATATATCCATATGATGAAATACTAAACAATAAAAAGTAATAAACTTGATAAGTGCAACAACATGGGTCAATCTTAAAATAATTATGCTGAGTGAATACCAGACAAAAAAGACTACATACATTCCATCCATATAATATTCTAGATAATGCAAACTAACTAGTGACAGAATGTAGTTAAGCGGTTGTCTGCAAGTGTGAGGTGAGGCGGGGTTCCGGGTAGAAGGGGAAGAGAAGGAAGGATTTCAGAAGTGAAGCAAAGCATGTGACAACAGCATGGAGAACAGAAGGGAGGAAATGGGAATCTACAGTTGTAAGGTCTTTATACTATCCATGAAAGCAGGATATTTGAAGGCAAATTGGTTAATTTAAAATGTGTATTGTAAACCCTAGGGCAATCACAAATTAATCTCCACCTCTTGCCTACTCTCAGTCCCAGGGTCTGGGGACTTTTCTTGGAAATTCTGAGACAAAGACGATTCAGCTATATTTCACAGGGTCAGATGCAGAAAGTATGTGAGAGCTGGGGCTGCCAGAGTCATGAACCCAGGGCCTGTGGGAGAATGCAGTCAACATGAAGAAATGGGCAGCTGAGAGAGAGAGAGAGAGAGGGGACGCAGAAGGGCAAGAACTTTTCAGTTACTTGAGCCAGTAAATCTTTTTGCCTGTGCTTTTTTTGGGGGGTGGGGGGGGTAAAATTTCCCGTCACTTGCTGTTTAACAAAATACCACAAATTGATTAAAGGCCTACAGGAGAATATCTGCTGCTTTGAATTTCTCCAGGTAAGGCCTGCACCTTCTTTTAAAGCAGCGGTCCCCAACCTTTTTGGCACCAGGGACCGGTTTCATGGAAGACAATTTTTCCACGGACCAGTGGGGAGGGATGGTTTGGGGATGATTCAAGCACATTAAATTTATTGTGCGCTTTATATATTACAGTGTAATAATAGAAATAATAAAATAATTATACAACTCACCATAATGCTGACAGGAGGCAGAGCTCAGGCGGTAATGTGAGCGATCGGGAGCAGCTGTAAATACAGATGAAGCTTCGCTCGCTCACCCACTGATCACCTCCTGCTGTGCGGCCCGCTTCCTAACAGGCCATGGACCAGTACCCGTCCGTGGCCCGAAGGTTGGGGACCCCTGTTCAAAGGACTTGATCGATTAGGTCCACCCAGGCCAATCTTTCTTTTGACTACAGGGTCAACTGATTTGAGACCTTCATTACCTCTGCAGAATCCTTTCATCTTTGCCGTATAACATCACTGGAATCATGAGACTGAGATCCTGTGATAGTCACGAGACCTGCCCACACTCAAGGGGAGGGAATTAATTAGGCACGTATACCATGGGGTGGGAATCTTAGGGACCATCTTAGAATCCTGCCTGCCAGAGTGACCTAAGATGCCCCTGTGCCCTGTACTCAATCATGAATCTCTTGGTTTCTGGGATTTTCCATGTTCTCCCAGATTTCTAGGTTGCCTCTGTCTGACCTCTTTTCACTTGGCTTTGCAATTGCCTGGTTACTTGTCTCTTCCCCTTTAGAAGTTGAGCAACTCAACATTTGTCACTCTACGGCCCACCTCATAGCCTAGCACTGGTTTGGGCCATAAACATTGTATGGATAAGTGGAGGTGATTCTTATTGGAGATAAGGATTAATCTAGATGACATCAAAGACCACATTCAATGCTAAAAAATTCGTTAATTCACCCTGCTGACTCCATCCAGTCCAAACTCTTTGAATATGGTTTAAGAGGTTCTGTCTAACTTGTCCCTGCACACTTCTCTGCCCTCACTAGTGTCAAAGTTCACTTTGTCTTTCATGCTGTGCTATAAGAACACTAAACCACTTGTAGTTTCTAGACTATGATTTGCTTTCTGTTAGCTTCAAGATGGTGCCTGTGCTATTTTCTCAGACTAGAATGCTCTTCCCTACATCAACTGACCTACATCAACTGACTACAAATGTTCAAAGGAACTTAATTGACTAAGTTTATTAATGGTACTGTTACCAACCCAAACTTGGGTCTGCTTGCCCATGCACAGTAAAGCCAATCTACTGACACCAAGTTGTGGTGAAAGAAAGTGCAGCATTTATTGCAGGGTGCCAAGCAAGGAATCCAGGCAGCTGGTGCTTAAAAGACAAATGCCCTGATGGGTTTCAGGGAAAGGTTTTTAAAGACAGGGTGAGGGAGGGGGGTTGTGCAGTGCTTGATCAGCTCATGGACATTCTTCTGATTGGTTGGTGGTGAGATGATCGGGAGTCAACATCATCAACCTTTTAGTTCCAACTGGTCTATGGACAGCATACAGTTAACTTCTTCCACCTCGTGGGGGTTTCAGTATCTGCAAAACATCTCAAAGGATATGGCTCAATATTATCTACAGCCCTTGAGGAGGAACTAAAGGGCCTTGACTTTGTTCAATGGCTAAACTATTATTATTTTGCCTCGTTTGACTGTTTTCCTTTCTTTCTGTATTTTTCTCACTTCTCAGATTAAATTTGTTTTTTGGAACTTGAGGAAGGCCTAGGAGGCTAAAGTTTTTCTACAGACAAGGGGCAGGCAGAGGACGTGGTTGGTGGGTTGGGGATGGTGGGGGAGTCTGTCCTGGGAAGGCCCCATAGGGTCCTGCTCAGTTACAGTACCAAAGTGATGGTTAAAATTTACTAGATTTATGAATGGAATTGTAAAATTTGTCAGTTGAAGGAAAAACAAGGTTTGGGGATTTCTAAATTTAATACATTGAGTATTAGTTTTAAAAATCAAATGAACTTCAGAGTAATTTCTGCTCATGAATGCTACCCAGAGGACATAAAAGAAGACTTAAAATGTGATGGTGGACCATGCAACCTGAATGAAACCAAGACGGGCCAGGAGTAATGGGTTCCATGTGCTAGACGCCTCAGAATAAAGAATTGTCATGGTAGGGGTCATCCAGCAACCAGAATCACGGGAGTTTCAGTGAGGGAGGCCTAGCACTGGAGATTTAAGAGATGGGGCAGTTTCTGGCCACAACGATAGGGGTGTGACCAAGGGAATGAGTGGCCTATTGAAGAGAAAGGACTGTCATTGGAGACGAGGCGGTCAACGACCTGATAAGACAGACGCTCCTTTTGGATGAATGGCCAGTTTTGTATAACTCAAAGGGAATACTGCTTACATAACCGTCTATGTGAACAGCGTCTTTGGCATTGTGCGGTGCACAATCTGCATAACCGTATGCGATGGTTCTGCTAAACCCTGAAGTCACCAAGTACGATGACAGGAGTACCTGTGGGGAATGAGACAGCAGGTAAAATTCTTGGTAAGCAAAAACAGAGTGAACAATTATGGAGTACTTACTATATGCTTGGTAGTGTTCTGAGCACTTCCCAAGAACTCTTGTGAGTTCAGTAGTTTTATTATCATCAGTATCATTTTACAGATAAGAAAAACAAAAGAAATGATAAAATCTGCTCCTGAACACATTTCTTCAAGAGTGCCACGCTCTGCAAATTCAGTTGCAACTAACTCTCCGAGGCGCGCTCCCCGCGCTCTTCCTCTCACCGCTTAGGGCGCCTGCGCGCGGGCCCGGGTGACCGCCGGCTGCCCCCGCCGCCGCCGCCGCCGCCGCCGCCGCCGCCCGCCCGGCGTAGCGGGGTCACGTGCTGGCACGGGGCGGAGCCCGCGCGGGGACGCCTGCGCGCCGCGGGCTGACCAAGCCGAGCTTACCCTGCGGAGCCGGCGCTGGATCCCGCGGCCGCTGCCTCGTCTTCTGTCGGCTCCGCCGCCAGCCGGGGCTCGGGCCCGGGCCCGGGCCCCCGGGACATGGCCGTCCGGAGTGCGCAGGATGATGGCCCCACCTCCAGCCGCTGGGACGGCGGCGCGGGGAAGGCAGGTACGGAAGCCGGCCGGGGCGCCGGGAAGCGGCCTGCGAGGACGGCCTGAGGGACAGGGGCGGCCTTAGGGTCAGGGGACAGCTGCCGGAGGAGGGGGCCGGGGGACCCGGGACGACCGCGCGAGGTGCGAGAGAGGAAAAGGCTGAAGACCCGGGTCACGTCTGAAGTGGAAGAGATCCTGGAATTGGGGGTTAGCGGATGCTGAGGGGACCGGAGGAACCCTGGCTGCAGACCCGCACCCCCAGTGGGAAGGACGGGGCGGGCGGGGGCCCCGCGTCCCACCTCGTCGCATCTGGAGAGGAGAATTGGGTCTCCCTGAGAACCGAGGCCAAGCCTCGCCCCCGACCGAGACTGTCCGGCCACGTCCGCAGGCTCCGGGGGCCGCCTCCCTAGTAGTGGTCAGGCCGGTTTCCCAAACTTCATTCATCGGTCGCAGTCTGGAGTGACGCGGTGACCGTGGACCACATATTTCTTTTAATTACCTCGAAATTCACTCTTTAAAGTGTACAGTTCAGTGGTTCTTAGTACATTTTTACAAGGTGGGGCAACCATCGCACTGTCTTAATTCCAGAGCATTTCTAATGCCAAAAAGAAAGGCCATCATTTCCCAGGCCCCATTCTCCACAGCTCCTGGCAAGTACCAATCTACTGTCTCATCCTGTGCCACCTATTTTAATGTTTAATTGTGTAAAAAACGAGTCTCTCTATTTTTTTATACTGTCTTATACTAATTTCCATGAAATCATGGTTTCGTTGTGCGCTGTTTTCAAATATCTTTTACATACAGTTAATAAATGGAGAAGACTAAGGTAACTTTCCCACTTTTCCATCTTCTGGTGGGTGGTGCCCATAATAGAACCAACCACATATTCAACCCACGTTTTGATGAAGCACCTGGTTCTTCACATTTTGTTTCTCTGGGTTCATTTTGTTATTGCCCTTTTCTCCTATTCTAATGCTGCATTTGGAAATGGAGCTCATTCCTCGTATTACTCCTCTAGGCCCTTTGGCCTTGTAACCCTTTGCTGATGTTTATATAACATCTGTCCTCATGGCATAATAGTCATTGCCTCAAGTGGTATGGGTCTTGTGACATGATGTAGTGCAGCTGTGCCTAGGTTGCGAGACTTTATCCTTGTTTCCTTGATTTTGCTTCTTTGGATAAGTGGGAGGAATTTAGAGATGAGAGGAGTTTGTTTTTCTGTTTTTCTTGTTTGTTTTTGTTTTGTTTTTAATCATAGGAGAATTGACAAAGTTACTAATACTATTAACTCTCTTTTGTAGAGGTTACGATTAGATTGGTTTACTGTCTAGAATATTTTTCTCCATTTTGGGGGTAGTCTTTCTTCATAATGTGCATGTCTTTATTTTTCAGGTAGTTAATGAATCTCTGATAATTTGGGTACTGTTTGTTGAAACTAATTAGTACCTCCAAAAACAGAGTTTCTTTTATTTTGTTTTTAATAGGAACCTTACTCAGAATAAGGTAAGGTTTTCCTCTCCCACTGTATTTCTCTGATACAGATATGAAGTTCAGGCATAAATTTTTTTTTCAAGCATAAATTTTTAAGTTAATTTCCAATGTCAACATCAGGAGTTCAAGGGTGGAGCAGGGGGTGTCTGTCTGGGAGGATCTCTTTCTGACTTGCTCTTTCATGGTTTTGATTAAGGCTAGCTCTGCCTTTTAAGTTTAACTTCTGTTTAAAGTCTGTAAAGCTTTCTTGACATGCAAACTTAAACCAAATAATCATTATGGAATTTTATTCTTGCACATAAGATTCATTTATTAAGCGTGTAGATCATTTACCCGATCTAAGTCACTGATGTGTATTTTGCTGGTATGGAAAAACTTTTAGAGGAAGCATAGCTAGTGCTCATTTTTAGCCATTGCCCTTTCCTGTGTATTAAGTTCCCCAAGCCAGATGCTTTTGAAGATACCTGTTGCTCTAAGGAAGGAGAAATCTCTACCTGAGTTCCGTAGCCAGAGTAGGGAGAGGTTTGAGACAATAACAGACTCAGCCATCTTTATCTGAGTTGTTAAGAACTACTGTTTCAGTGCTCCTTATTTAAATGATCGTTTTAATAGGGAGCAGGCCAAGTAGTACCAATGTCATTCCTTTTTCCTTTGTTGAATGAATTACTTTTCAGGCAGCAGGGATTTATTTATAGCAGCGTCTTATATTTTGCAGCCGGCTCTAGAATAGTCACTTCATTCTGTCGTGGTTACGAAAGCCAAGACCTTTATTATAAAGAAATTTGGAAGATAGCAGCTTTGGAATATATAATACATCTCCCTTATAAGGGGAGCAATTAAAAAATTGGAGAAGAAAGGATTCAAGGGGATTTGAAAATGTGGGCTTTTATCCCAAGCCCAAATATCGCATTCTCAAGTCCAGCAATGTGTCCTACCCCAAAATCCATATGTAAAATTTATCTTAAAATAGTTAGACATTAATTTTAACCTTTTTCCAAGCATCCCAAGAACAGCTCTGACTTTCCTCTTTCTGAGGTGAAGAGGATATGATGTGTAAATTAGTTGTGCATTTGAGACTCTGCAGAACCTCTTCTCCCTCATTGTGTAGTCTAGCAGTTGAATTCATCACTTTGTAATTTATACATCTCTAGCTCACTTGAGTTTGCTGTTTTCTCCTCTCTCTTTATGTCACAGTCAAAGCCTGTATGTACGTTAGGTGCAATGAAATATTTGTCTGTGGGTGTGGCACACGTAGGAGTGCCTTCTTCATCTGCCACTAACATTTAATTGCTAGAATACGGGATTGAGAAAGGCGATATTGGGGTCTGAACAGACAGCCACTAAAATCCACAATTGAGCAGCATTCTACTCTGGGAATCACCAATAGCTTTAGAAAAAGGTCAAAGTGCCTACAAATCTATGTAGAGTTTTCTGGTGTGGATATTCTTAACAGTAATATGGGGAAAATAATGCCATTTACTATAGGCCAGTTTTTCCAGAGGAACAGTAGCTAAGCTAAATTATTTGTTCTGTTCCGCTCGTATGTGTTGAGTTCCCACAGAGCATCAGAATCAAGATGATAGCAGTAAATTTTGAAATGCAGGATTTAAGTAGAATCCAAACAGAGTTTTTAGAGAAATAAGTATTGGAGCTGTGGTTTGGGTTCAGAATTAGTTAAAATTTTGGCATATTATTTACCAAAACCTACTGGAAATCCAGCTGATTGCAAACAGTTTTATTTCCTCCAAGATATAAACAGTGATTTTCCTTTTCCCCCAGATTGCTGAATAGCTTAAGTGGAAAGAGGGGTAGGGTGGATATATGTCTTGAAAAATTGAGGAAAATTTTCCATACTCTTAGAAAATAGGTTAACAAGGTTTCTAAATGTCAGCTGTCTTGGTAAATGTTTAGTATTACCATTTAAGTGTTCTTAATTTGTGATGTGTAGAAAGTACAAGAGCACTCTAAGTTAAAAAAATTTTTTAATATCTGATTTTTTTCTTTGTTGGAAATTAATTCAATTCCTGCACATATTTTGTCTCAGCCTATGTTGTTATATAAAGTCTTTTCTGTTTTCTGTGTCTCAGTGATCCCTCTTTGGGAACATAGAGCCTTCTCTTCCAAAGGATGGCCCTTTGACCCAAAGTAAAATCCCTCCCTGTCTTCCCCTTCAGTGGAGGATAAATCCAGTCCAGACTCTTCTATTAGCTGCATTTACTGCAGTCCTTCCAGCCTCTCTTCCTTTACCTAACACTTCAGCCACTTGGAATTTTTCTGTTTTCAGGGCATGATGTTTCTTTCATGTGACAAGGTCTTTGCACATACTCCCTGGAATGCTCTCCCTTCAGCACACTCTTCCATGTGCAAACTTTTCTTTAAGGAGGTACCACAATATATTCTTGGTGAAGCCTTTCCTGATTGCCTCAGAAGTAGTTATTCTTTCCTCTGGGTTTTCATGATTCTTCATGGTTCTGTTATATCATGTGTAATAATTATGTCGCTCCCTACTGTGAGCCTCTCAAGGGCTGGGAGAGAGTCATATTCATGTTTTTATCCCAGTATGGTGCTTACTACAAGTAGTTGCTCATTAAATGATCGACTGATAAATGAATGGATAGATCAATGGACAGATGGATGGCTGGTAAGACATGCCCAAGCCAAGAACTTGAAGCACTTTGTAAATAAACATTTGACTAGTTAGGTGCTGTGCTGACAGGAAATTGAGACTTGATTTTTCATGATTTCTAGGTAGAGTAACTATTTAATTTAGCATCCAACCTGGGACATTTTTGAGAGTGTGGATGGGAAGAAGAGTTTGCTATGAACAGTTATGCCAGGACTATAGGTGTAAACCAGAAATCTCTCAGACAAACTGGAACAGATGGTCCCCTACTAGGTCACCAAGGAAAATAACAGTCTAGCCAGGAGAACAGGTTTGCTGGGGTGAAAAAGCACCTGGTCCTGTCTGCACCTCCAATTGCACGTTAACTCCAAACCAGTTGGTGCCTCTGTTTATATGGTTTATGTCACAGTTCTCATAGATAGGTAACCAGGGCCATTAGTACCAACTTTCATTTGCGTTAATAATGTGCAGCTTTATCATGGAAACAATTTGTTTGTTTGTTTGTTTTTTGTTTTGTTATCATGGAAACAATTTGTAGACTGTTGCCTCAGAATAGAACAGTATTGAGGAAAGCCGCTTAGTGTCTGTTCTAAAACAGACATCTACCTTCTGATGTTAGTCCCTTCTAAAGCCTAACCTACTTCCACTGTTATTCCTCTCTAAAGCCTAACCTACCTTCCAGTGTTATCTTCCACTTTACATTAACTCCAGTGCCCTGTACCTAGTATATGCTACATAAATACTTATTATTTTTATTTTAAAAATTATTTGTTTATTTATTTTGGCTGCTCTGGGTCTTAGTTACAGCACACGGGATCTTCATTGCAGCATGCGGGATCTTTAGTTGAGGCATGCGGGCTCTTTTAGTTGTATCATGTGGGCTTCTTAGTTGTGGCATGAGGACTCTTCGTTGCAGCATGCGTGCAGGATCTAGTTCCCCGACCAGGGATTGAACCCCATCCCCCTGCATTGGGAGCATGGAGCCTTATCCACTGGACCACCAGGGAAGTCCCCATAAATATTTTTTAATGAGTTCATTTACTGTTAAATGAAAGGGCCTGTGCTTCTGTCTCCACGCCTTTTCAGCTCTCCTCCCAGCCTCTCAGAATCCTCCCCTTTCTTTTTAAATTGCACTCTTCAGTAATGCATTCTCAGATTAGCCTGACCCACAGCTGTCTGAACTCTTGGTGTCTGCACATACCTTTTTTGGGCAATTATAGTGCACTGCTTTGTGACATCTCTTTGGTGTTGTCTAGTTTAACTTTTCTTGTGTTTGCTGTTCCTAAAATCAGCCATTCTGGTGAAAACTCTGACAGCCTATTATTACCCCATTATTTTAGATAGAAACATTATAATTTGATGCACATTAACCACAAACTCTCGACCAGTCTCCTAAAAAAGTAATTTAAACACAGCAAAATGCCTGTGTATAAATAAGAGACTACCACATAAGGATATAAGATCCTTAAAACAGTACTTCCTGATCATCAGTAATTAATATGGTTCTTGAGAAACCGTTGCTTTGTATGCAGTATCATGCCTCTCTTACCACTAGCCACACTGGAGACCCAAGTATACCCTTTGACATTCTACTTTTGAAAATATCTCCATGTGATTCTGATGTTTTACCAGTTGTATTAGTGTGTAACCGGAGACTTTTTCCACGTGTGGTTTTGTTTAAAAAAGTAAAATTGAGGACTTCCCTGGTAGCGCAGTGGTTAAGAATTCCCCTGCCAATGCAGGGGACATGGGTTCGAGCCCTGGTCTGGGAAGATCCCGCATGCTGTGGAGCAACTAAGCCCGTATGCCACAACTACTGAGCCCATGTGCCACAACTACTGAAGCCCACGTGCCAGAGCCCATTCTCTGCAACAAGAGAAGCCACTGCAATGAGAAGCCCACACACCGCAATGAAGAGTAGCCCCCGTTCTCCACAACTAGAGAAAACCTGTGGGCAGCAACGAAGATCCAACGCAGCCAAAAATAAATAAATAAATTTATTTTAAAAAGAGAGAGAGAGATGTATGCTCTGTAAAGTTTAGCATTAAGAAAGCACAGTCATTCTATTAGGAAAAACTGTTAGATATATCTGAATGTACTGGGCATTTATTATAATTGTATGTCCTTTTTTGTTACTTATATGGCATATCTCCTTAGTGTTTTGTACACTATGTGCTAGTGAAATATCGGTAGATTGACTTCAAATATACCTACCTTACCTCAAACCAAGCAAGGAGATTGAGCCCTGAAGAGAAAATGTACAAATGCTGAATATGTGCCTAATGCCCTTTTCCCTTCTGTTTTGCAGACTTTAATGCCAAAAGGAAAAAGAAAGTGGCAGAGATCTACCAGGCTCTGAACAGTGATCCCACTGATGTGGCTGCCCTTAGACGTATGGCTATCAGTGAAGGAGGGCTCCTGACTGATGAGATCAGGCGGAAAGTGTGGCCCAAGCTCCTCAATGTCAACACCAATGATCCACCTCCTATATCAGGTAATTAGGGGTGAGGTGCTGTGAAGGGGAGCTTGTCTAGGAGGCAGGGAAAAAGAATGCCAGGGTCTTTGATTTTTATGCTCATTTCAAACCAAGAGTAGATGAGTAAACACCTAAAGCATTTTAGGATATGCTTGAGCCTACTCTGAAAATAAGACCAAACTGGTAAGTAGAATTTTAATAAAAAATGGAATGAGTTTTTATTAGGTAGGTAGGTAGCTAGCTATTACTGGCTAGTTAGGGGAGTTTATTAAAAATGTATATTCTGGGGCTTCCCTGGTGGCACAGTGGTTGAGAGTCCGCCTGCCGATGCAGGGGACACGGGTTCGGGCCCCGGTCCGGGAAGATCCCACATGCAGCGGAGCGGCTGGGCCCGTGAGCCATGGCCACTGAGCCCGCGCGTCAGGAGCCTGTGCTCTGCAACGGAAGAGGCCACAACAGTGAGAGGCCTGCATACAGCAAAAAAAAAAAAAAAAAAAAAAATGTATATTCTGGGAATTCCCTGGTGGTCCAGTGGTTAGGACTCCATGCTTTCACTGCCGAGGGCCCGGGTTCGATCCCTGGTCAGAGAACTAAGATCCCACAAGCTGCACGGCATGGCCAAGAAACAAACAAACAAAAATGTATATTCCAGTTTACATTCACTTAGAAGTGGGTTGTAGGAATATGTATTTTAACAAGAATCCCACCTAATTCTGACACACATGGACTGCATTTTGAGAAACGTGGGGCTATAGGAAGAGGTAATACCTCTACGGTCCTTATAAAAACAAAAAAACTTTTTATGAGGAATTACTAAGACCATTTTGAATTCTAAAATTCTGTAATTCTATGAAAAACTGTTACAGTTGGCCCCTCCAAGTCCAAGGATTCAACCAACCATGGATCAAATATATTCTGTAAAAAAAAAAAAAAAAAACCTCCAGAAATTTCCAAAAGCAAAACTTGAATTTGCTGTGCTCTCCAACTATTTACATAGCATTTACATTGTATTAGGTTTTTTTTTAAAATTTATTTATATTTAATTTATTTATTTTTGGCCACGTTGGTTCTTCGTTGCTCCGCACGGGCTTTCTCTAGTTGCTGCTAGCAGGGACTACTCTGCTATGGTGTGCATGCTTCTCATTGCAGTGGCTTCTCTTGTTGCGGAGAATGGGCTCTAGGCATGTGGGCTTCAGTAGTTGTGGTGCATGGGCTCAGTAGTTGTGGCTCGCGGGCTTTAGAGCACAGGCTCAGTAGTTGTGGCACACGGGCTTAGTTGCTCCATGGCATGTGGGATCTTCCTGGACCAGGGATCAAACCCATGTCCCCTGCATTGGTAGGCGGATTCTTAACCACTGTGCCACCAGGGAAGTCCTGTATTAGGTTTTATAAGTAATCTAGAGGTGATTTAAAATATACGGGAGTTGTAAAACAACTATACCCCAATTAAAAAAAAATAATAATTAATTAAAAAGTATATGGGAGGATGTGCATGGGTTATATGCAAATATTAGACCACTTAATACATGGGACTTGAGCATCTGTGGATTTTGGTATCCTTGGGGGTCCTGGAGCCAATCCGCCTTGAATACTGAGGGGCAACTGTACTTATTTGCAAGGCCCGTGTAGTAAAAAAAAAAAAAAACTTCCGCAGAATACAAAAGAAAGTACAGCAAAACAGTGAATCCACTTTGTCATTTATTCACTCCACAAAAATTTATTGCTTTCCTGCTATGTTTGGCAAAAGTCCAGGTGCTGGGGATTCTTTCATTCATTTGGCAGGTACTATTTGTGCTCCTAATGTGAGCCAGGTACTAGAGATGATTAAAACAGCCTCTGCTGAAAAAAGTTCACAGTGTTGTGGTACAGCCGAGTAGATGGTATTTTTGTTTTATTTTTTAGTATACCTATTTATTTTATGGGTTTTTAAATTTTATTTATTTATTTATGGCTGCGTCGAGTCTTAGTTGCGGCACGCAGGATCTTTTGTTGCAGCGCTGGTTTCTTCTTCATTGCATCACACAGGCTCTGTTTCAGCATGCAGCCTTCTCTCTAGTTGTGGCGTACAGGTTTTCTCATTCTGGTTGTGGTACGTGGGCTCCAGAGGGTGAGGGCTCTAGTTTGCGGCACTCAGGCTCCCTAGTTGAGGCACGCGGGCTTGGTAGTTGTAGTGTGTGGGCTTAGTTGCCCCACAGCATGTGGGATCTTAGCTCCCCGACCAGGGATCAAACCCACATCCCCTGCACTGGAAGGTGGATTCTTTAACACTGGACCATCAGGGAAGTCCCTGAGTAGATGTTTTTTTGTTTTGTTTTTGCGGTATGCGGGCCTCTCACTGTTGTGGTCTCTCCCGTTGTGGAGCACAGGCTTCAGACACGCAGGCTCAGTGGCCATGGCTCACGGGCCCAGCTGCTCCGTGGCATGTGGGATCCTCCCGGACCAGGGCACGAACCCGTGTCCCCTGCATCGGCAGGCGGACTCTCAACCACTGCGCCACCAGGGAAGCCTCCTGAGTAGATGTTTTAAGTTGCCCCTTGTTATTATCTTTGGAACCGGGCTGCCTCAGAGCAGTGATCTTTTTGTTGGAAGGAAAAGGCATTGCTGTATTCACACTCTAAATCCTGAGATGGTGTTCCATCAGATTCCAGATTTCCCATATCTTTATAAGATGAAGTCTGTGTATGCGGAAGTATTGTACAGGCTCCTCTAGTAAGTTTTGATTTCGGTTATGAAGGAAATGTACACTTTTATATATATAACAGCTAGAGACTGCCTCCTTACTTTCAGTTGGGCTTAACAACTGAACACAAGTACTGTCTCCTGCTTGCAGTGTCTTAGTTTTAGAATTGCAGGGTCAAGAGAGGTTAGGTTCTTTTTTATGTGAGTTTATCTTAATACTCCTTTCTGAACAGCTCAGTGTTCCCTAGACTTTACAGATGTTAGAGTTTTTCCAGTGGTCTGTGGTTTCCACAATCATGATCTTATTTGATCCTTACAGTAATCTGAGAGGTACACACGGAAGGGAGTAATCCCCATTGTACAGATGTGGGCTTTGAAATTCAGAGCAACTCCCGGTGACACACAGTAGCAGCCTGCATGCAACTCCTGGCCTCCTGACTTCTCCTCTGCTGCTCTTTGCACCCTGTAGCCTCCTGGATAATCTGTGTTCCCTCCTCTTATGGTCATCATGACTTGCGGGAAACAGCGTGTTTGGAACTAAACCAGGGATTCCTCTCCAAATGTTGTATCTTGAGTCATGTCCCCTTCAAGAAAAGCCCGAGTATGTCTTTCAGGCCTTTTATGTCATGCCAGGATGTTTTGCTCCTGATGTGGCTTCCCAGACGTTCTTGCAATAACATGTTCTTTTTCCTTCAATAGGGAACGACCTACGACAGATGAGCAAGGACTACCAACAAGTGCTCCTGGATGTCAGGCGGTCTTTACGGAGGTTCCCTCCTGGTGAGACGCGCTCTCGGTCTTCCTGGGTCGGGGGTGGCGGGGTGGCTTCTGTCCCAGTTGCACTTACTTTCTTGTGTTGGTGCTTGCTTGTCCCAGGAAGCTTCCATCCCAGCACAGAGCGTGACCGCATGCAGGACCCTACCTCCTCAGGGACCCATTGTGCTCCTCATCTGCCGCGTCATTCTTTCACTGTCTCAGTCAGTTCAGAACCGCACTGTGAAGGCCTGAGCCTAAAATAATGTCTTTTGGCCTAGAGGTGGTAGATGAGAGAAGAGGGTTTTTCCCCCTTCAGAGCCTTAGAGGAGACTTTATAGGGATTGCTAGAGCCATCGGTCTGGCTTTAAAGAGCCGATTGGTTTGGAAGTGGTCACTATAACAAGAACTATTAATATCTTCATTTATACATAGCGGTATCTTGCATATACGTATATTGGGGCCCTTGGACTGGAAGGAAGGCCAATCACTACATGTTTAAAGAGTCTGTTCCTAAAATTGTCTTCCCATTCCCAGGAATAATGAGAAGAATAACCATTGTCTCCAGTTTCACCATGAAGGAAACTGGCCAGCAAACCTCATCTATTTCTCTTCCTTTGGCAACTCCACCTTAGGTCCATGAAGAGAGGAGAATTGCTGGAGGGAACAAGAACCTCTAAACCCATTTTCTCACTCTTTAGAACCCATGCTCTGGCATTGGATTTTGTCTGTTAAAGGGCCTCTTTCCTGCTTGCACCCTTGGTTCCTGGAAAGGCTCTTTTCCTATCCTGCTGGTCTTGAGGAGACCACATAGACAGATGCATTCCATATTTTTCCCTAGGTAACCTGTTTTTCCTCTGAGCCCTTTATTCCTCTTCCACTTATGTGACATCAGTCTATGATATTATTCTTGTAGGCTGAACTTTCCATGTGGTTTCATATTTTTTTACATTCACGTTCTTCTGAGCTTAGCTGACCTCTTTTATACTGAAAATTCAAATAAGGTTTACTTTTTTTCTCTCGCTACTTTCATTACTTTACCTATCCATAGTAGTTGGTTTACTCCATGTTCTTTTTTATCTTTTAGAGTGTGCCTTTTTGAGAAGGGGTAGGTAGAAACGGGCAAGAGATGAGCTTCACTCTCACCTAAAAACCTTTGTTCGGTTTAGTCTGGGCTCTTGTATTAGCTGTTTTCTCTCGTAAGATCTGTTTTTGACTGGAAAACCTAATGGTGTAGGAAAGCTGTGCTGTGTGCCGTTCTTCTAAAACAGGTCATGAGGCCAAGGGTTGGCATTTTTATACTAAAAGCCAGATGAGCCGAGGAGCCACACTGACCGCTGCCAGAACTAGGCGCGCGCGCCAGAAGGTCTCCCGAGACAGCCTTTTCTGTTTCCAGCTGTGTCTTTGGATCAAGGACATCAGTACTTCCTGTGATATTTAGTTTGTTTCTGAGGGCAACATGCATCTCTTACATTTTTTGTTTTTATATAATTTCATACCTACAGAAAAGTTGCAAAAGTAGGACAAGGAATTCCCCAGGTGGCTTTTACACAGATTTTCTTACATGTCAACCTTTTACTATATTTACCTTAGTATTGCTTTCTCTCTCTCCTTTGTGGTACATACACGCAAATTTTTTTCTGAACTATTAAGAATAAATTACACACATGGTGCCCCTTTATCCCTAAATATTTCAGGGTATATTTTTTTAAAACACGGCTCTTATTACATAATCACACTTAAAATCAGTATCACATTGACAGTATTTACTGCTAATACAGATTTTATTCAGATTTCACCATTTATTCCAATAATGTTCTTTATAGGAAAAGGAGATACAAATTCATGCATTTTCCATTCAGTCTTCATATCTCTTTAGCTTCCTTTATTCTGGAATAGTCCCTTTGTATTTTATGACAGGCCAGTTATTTTATAAAATCTCTCTCAGTTTCGGTTTATCTGGTGTTTCCTCCTTTTAAGGTTCAGGTGATGAACTCTTGGTAGGAATTCCACCAAAGTGGTGCTGAGTTTTCCCTGCAGCACATCGGGAGGCACGTGCTGTCCACTAGTCACACTGTTGGTAGCATGACCTGTGGTGACCCGGGTTTTAAGATGGTGTTGGTTGGGTTCCCCCACTGTAAGGTAGCCAGTCTGTGGCTCTTTCCTACATGTCAGGCAGTATCAACAGTGTGTGTATCTTGAATGTGTTGCCAGATTGTTGTAATTAATTTTCTTTTATTAAACCCTTTCTCTGCTAATCCACTGCTGACCGTCTTCCTAACCTCTGTGTTACTAGGCTGCTTGCCATGTTCAAGTGCATCTCCCCTGCCCTCCCCTCCCCAGGCATGCCAGAAGAACAGAGAGAAGGGCTCCAGGAAGAACTGATCGACATCATCCTCCTCATCTTGGAGCGCAACCCTCAGCTGCACTACTACCAGGGCTACCACGACATCGTGGTCACATTTTTGCTGGTGGTAGGCGAGAAGCTGGCAACATCCCTGGTAGAAAAATTGTCTACCCATCACCTCAGGTACCAGCACAAAGCAGCATAAGAGGATGGGTATCACTCCTCAAGTCCCCCTGGGGATAACTCCTCAGCCCATTTCCTAGTCAGTGTTTTCAGTGGTTTGAACCCCACTCCACCTTACTGCCCCCAAACCCTGATCCCAGTATTTGGTCTGACCAAGCTCATTGAATTGTCTCCTTCTAGGGATTTCATGGATCCAACAATGGACAACACCAAGCATATATTAAACTATCTGATGCCCATCATTGACCAGGTGAATCCAGACCTCCATGACTTCATGCAGAGGTATATATGTGTCTACATTTATGTGTGTACGTACACACACACCCCTCTTCAGCTTTCTCCTAGCCTTTGTTTATTCTTCACAAGTGTAGCTCAGTTGCATCATCATCTTATGTCGATTAGTGTTACGTTCTTCCGAGTTGTCCTTTCCAGTCATCAGCAGTCTGGATAATTCAGTTCTGTGCACAGTCTTGGAACACTCTTTGGGTGCTGTGCCTCTTGGGGGGATAGAAGAGAGGTCACAGCCCATGCCCTTGAGGAGCTTACCTCTAGTGGAGGGAGGTGGACAAGGTAAGTACGCCAAGGTAGACTTTGAGGTTACTGCTGCAACAGAAGTACAGAGTTCTGTAGGATCCAGAGGCGAGAAAGGCAAGGCCATCTGTGGGTTGCTTTATTCACCATATACCAAGGAGAAGAAATACACTTTGCAGTTCTCATGTTATTTTTCTCTTCTGTTTAGTTGGAAATGTGTCCTTGGCCAATGCCTGCCTCTCTTTAAAAAAGAAAAAAAAAAGGCTGTGTCTTAAGGTGTTTCAGTCACCTCATGTTAACTGTAAAATTAATACAGTTGTGTTTTCAAGCCTGAGAATATGTGCCTGTGCCCCCCCAAAGGATGGACTTTCTCAGAAGGAAAATGGTGGTGTAGTTCTCTGAAAACAGCTAATTCTTGTTGCTTTAGTTGACGTTTGTTGGCCATTAGGAGAGCACCCAGGGAGATAAGGCCACCAGGACCCTATTGTGGTATTAGTGTCATGATGTTGGGTATATTGTAAGGACTTTCTGTGTTGTGAGGAGAAGATGCTGAATTTGTAGGTGGCTGAATTTTCCAAAAAGCATGTTTCTCAAATGCTTTCTTCACACAGCACTGAGGACAAAGAAGGCCCAGGGAGGGGGAAGGGATGACTCAGCAGGGAACCTAACATCTGGACTTCCTTGCTCCTAGTGCCGAGGTGGGGACCATCTTTGCGCTCAGCTGGCTCATCACCTGGTTTGGGCACGTCCTGTCTGACTTCAGGCACGTCGTGCGGTTATACGACTTCTTCCTGGCCTGCCACCCACTGATGCCCATTTACTTTGCAGCTGTGGTAGGTATAGACCATGAGCCAGCAGCTTGGTGTGCATCCTCAAATCCAGCGTGATCACGTTCCCTAAAGGGAAACCTGGTGATTATGGAAAGATGCCAAAGACAGCACTTCCCCAGGCTGGCGTCTCTGGACACTGTTCTGTGGAATGTTAATGGGAGAGTCATGGGAGAAAAAAATGTTCTGTGTAACAGTAAGTTTGGGAACTGCTAGTTAAACAGAATTGTTAGATTTGTTTACTGCTTGATTCTTCCGAACCTTTAAAATGCTCGTGTGCATTGTGAATTATCAGGGTTTCTGTTGACAACTCCTGGAGCTCGTACAACCCCAACTCCGGGTTTAAGAAAAGCAGAAGTGTGGCATTATGATAGAAAGTTGAGATGGCTTTTAGTCGGGGTTGAGGGGCCCCAGTTATCAGAGGGGCCTGAACCATCCGGCGTGAGGGTGGAGGTGGGCACTCACAGCACTCTTCATTGTCCTTTAAAGAGAGCAAGACCATTCTTTCTGCTGTTTTGAACCATTTCTTCTGTGCTGGAGCTAGGAATCTCCAGTAATCCTTCTTCTTTCCTTCCTCCTAAAAGAACCTCCTTCATTTAATTGGTCAGCCTTTCACGTCATGGGGTGGAAGTTTGCCTCAGCAGGAAGGGTTTGCCCAGTGGGAAAAGTGCTCAGATGTGTACATCATTATTTCCTAGATGAATACAAGAATTTGCTGAACCTTTGGGGTGAGCCCTGTTTGGTACCAATTGAAATTCACCTCTAAGGAGAATGGAATGAAGTGGCCAAGGCCCTGTATGTTCTGGTCTCTGATGCAAGGCCTTGCTCCCCACAGATCGTGTTGTATCGAGAGCAGGAAGTCCTGGATTGTGACTGCGACATGGCCTCAGTCCACCACCTGTTGTCCCAGATCCCTCAGGACCTGCCCTATGAGACACTGATCAGTAGAGCAGGAGACCTCTTTGTTCAGTTCCCCCCGTCCGAACTTGCTCGGGAGGCAGCTGCCCAACAGCAAGCTGAGAAGTGAGTGGGGCCACGGCACCGGTTGAACAGGGGTGTTCATTAGTGAGCAGAAATGATGGAAGACTGTGTCTGGTGGGGACGGGGCTGGGAGTGGTGTTTCCAGAGACCTATGCTTATGCTAGTGGAATCCCCACTTGAGACTTCATGGGTCTTTATAAGAAGAATTTTCTGAGCAATGGATGTCTCTGCCCTCAGCCTATTTAATCTAGTTTTTTCCCTCCTTCTCTCATCCCATTCCCTTCTGTCTCCTTCTCCTCTGCAGAACGGCAGCCTCTACCTTCAAAGACTTTGAGCTGGCATCAGCCCAGCAGAGGCCTGACATGGTACTTCGGCAGCGGTTTCGGGGACTTCTGCGGCCTGAGGAGCGAACAAAAGATGTCCTGACCAAACCAAGGACCAACCGCTTTGTGAAGCTGGCAGTGATGGGACTGACGGTGGCACTTGGAGCAGCCGCTCTGGCTGTGGTGAAAAGTGCCCTGGAGTGGGCCCCAAAGTTTCAGCTGCAGCTGTTTCCCTAAATGCCTGAGAAGACACTTCCTCTTACATGACATCAAGGTCTCACCCTTCCATGGACAGATTGGGAGGGGGTGGAATTTCCTTTATTAAAAGGGTTTCTGTCAAGGGTTTTCTATTTCTGCACCCTTCCCCCCGTCCGTGGATGCCTTTGCCTCAGAGGCCGGTAGCAGAGCCTGCGTGACGCTGGGCACTCGGATCCTGAGCACAGAACTCTTTCTGCCTCACAGTGGGCTTCTGAGTGGGCTCTCTGCTGCCCCCTCTTGTGTTGAGGGAAGTGGGTTTCTGCAGCTCCCGGCTGCCTTAGGAACCCGCTGGGCCTGGTCACTGGGGAGCATCTTGGCTGCTCGTAGTAAGCTGGACCACTGAATGCCCTCCTGGCAGCTCCTCCCGTTCTGACTGCTTCAGCCAGACAAAGAAGGACGAAGCTGCTGCTAAAGAAGTCAGACCTTGGAATGAAGGCGAAGGGGCAGAGAAGGCCAGCCTGGGAGCAAGATTGGCCCCCTTTTAAGAACAGCTCCATTAGCTGGTCAGAAATCTAAGAGACACATGTGAACTAGGTTACTAGGTAAATCCTACCTATTTTCAGGCTAGAAATCACTTGGGCATTTCCAGTCAAACAGGAAGGAATGTTACATTTTAGGGCGCAGACATAGGCTGGTTTTTGCCTGCCTTTTTTTTTTTTTTTTCTCCTTATTCTCTTCCACAAGCCACATGACAATGCATATAAAAGACACTTTTACTACTATTTTTAGAATTACATACACCCAACATGTAAAGTACCCTCACTTTTAAAGTAATAGTTCCTTCATGGAAAAAAAAAATCGTTCTCGTCAGAAGGATAAGCTTCTAAAACCCTGCAGTTTCCTTTCTACTCAATTATTTAACATTTCACTTTAGTCAGAGTTGCTATTTGTAAGCAGCCCCACACTTCCGTAGTGCCCTCTTCTTCTCCAGCTCCCCTTCCTTCCCTCCTGTTTTCCTCCAGTCACCCTTCTACTCCCAAATAGGCATCCACTCACAACCTTGGCTTTGTTTTTTGGGTTTAACTTATCTCCTCAGCTGCTGGTCTCTCCTTCCTGGTAGGAAATGTCACTGGGAACTCGTCCGCACCCAGAAGGGGACAAGCTGCATCCTGAAGCGTGTGGCGGGAGCCTGGGACAGCCAGCTCGAGGCTTCCTAAGGACTCTCCAGGTCTCAAGAACAAGGTGGATATTCACTTCCTCTGGTACAGCTTTTCCTATAAGCGAAGCCAGGTTTGTTTTAGATTAACTGTGGCTTGAAAAAAAGTGCCTTTTGCTGCTCTGAAGAACTGGGGTGTATAGTGTGAAGCAGCCGTGTATTTTTATTTTCCTGGTCTGTTGCAGGCACTGTTCTCTCTTGGCAGGTGTTTTCTTAGAGTAAACATGCCAGAAGCACTCCACCCCACCCCACCCAGCCCTCCACGTCCTCCCCGTATGCCCACGGTGTGCAGAGCGGTTAGGAGAGGCATCTGTCCACACTGAGTTCACTAAGCACTTTACAACCAAAACAAGCTCGAAGTGGCAGGTCATTCTCATAGCAGGAGTCCCACCTGGGGTTAGCGTGATGTGGATGGATGAGTCTAGAAAGTGGTAGATTTATCAAGACAAAGGAAAGTCTTCCAGGATCCAGATGACGTGACAGAAGTTCCCAGTCTTCTCCCGCAACAAATTTGTCCTCTTGTCATCTTTCCAAATGGGCAGCATCGGCCCCTCCTGCCACAGGCCCTTGGACCTGTCTGTAAATACTGAAGGAATTGATGGGGAAGAGGAAGGGAGGTGCATGTGATCAGGGTCCCAAGGCCATGGCTTTTTGGATCCCAGGAAGCAGGTGGCATTGACTTTTGTTGTGGCCTAGGAAGGAGGAAGTTCATTTGTTTTATAGCTTTTCTGACATCAGGATTATCCCCTGCCAATGAGAAGAAAGCATTATCTTTTTACCTTCAAGTGGTTTACTATTCTGTAAGGAATATGTGTAAATATTTTGTACAGAGCCCTGTATGAAATAAACAGCCATATGTGGCTACTAATCGCTTCTGTCATTCTTTCCTTGTTGGAGTGGCTTTAGCTTTAGACATCTGGCCTTGATGCTCCCTCCCTTCCACCCCTGACCTGGAGATGTGCTGTATCTGTGGACTCCTGGTTGGCCTTGACTTGCCCGGAGAGCTTGGACAGTACCTGCAGTCCTGTTTCTGTTTTTCCCGAGGCAAGAACCCACGTTGCCTGGGTCCACTGTTTCCTTGGCCCAGAGGGGAGACGTAAGGGGGCTGAAGGCTGAGCAGGCATCACTCAGCTCCCCGACCGTGTCCCATCACCGTAGGCCAGCTGCCCATGCTGTCCTTTGATTTGACTTGTGGAGGACACAGGGCTGGCCAGGACACCGCCCTGCCTCTGGGACCTCACCAGAGAACTGCATTGAAGGAGCAATTGGTTTTCAGTGGCAGTTTCATAGTTGATTGAATGTAAAGAGAATTTTGATAAATAGAAAACTGAAGGAAGGGTATGTGTGGTGAAATAAATATTTGGGTTTTGTCCCCACTTCCCCTGAAACCCTTAGAATTTTCTGAGTGATAGGAGTGTCTTTTGTTCATAATGATTTCCTTTTGATCCCACCTGAGTTTATGCTAATGAAGTGACTTAAGGTGGGACCCCTGGATGGCACAGGTCACCGGAAAGACCAAGTGATTAGAGCGTGAGAACTTTGAGCCCCACCACTGACCTCCTGGGAGGGGAGGGGAGGCTGGACATTGAGCACTGCAAAAACTCCTGATTCAGAGATCGGGAGAGCCGCTGGGTTGGCACACACGTCAAGGTGCTGGGAGGGTGGCATGGCCCGAGAGGGCTTGGGAACACTGCACCCTCTTCCCCCCCGTTCCTTGCCCTATTCATCTCTTTTATTTGGCTGTTCCTGAGTTGTGTCCTTTATAATAAATCAGTACATGTAAGTAAAGTGTTCTCTTGAGTTCTGTCAGTACTTATAGCAAATTACTGAAACTGAGAGGGTTTTGTAGAAACCACTGAACTTGTAGTTGGCCAGGCAGAAGTGTGAGTAGTCTGGGCACCGCATTTGCAGCTGGGTCTGAAGTGGGACAGTCTTGTGGGACTGAGCCCTTTAACTTGTGGCATCAGATGCTAATTCCAGGTAGTTAGTGTCAGAACTGAATTGAATTGTTGGACACTCAGTTGGTGTTGGAAATCAGAGAAGTGGTGTCAGAAAATACTGCACAACACGCAAGGCTGAGGGGAAATTAGTGTAAAAATAATAGCTGAAGGGCTTCCCTGGTGGCGCAGTGGTTGGGGGTCTGCCTGCTGATGCAGGGGACACGGGTTCGTGCCCTGGTCTGGGAGGATCCCGTGTGCTGCAGAGCGGCTGGGCCCGTGAGCCATGGCCGCTGAGCCTGCGCGTCCAGAGCCTGTGCTCCGCAACGGAAGAGGCCACAACAGCGAGAGGCCCGCGTACCTCAAAAAAAAAAAAAAAAAAAAAAGCTGAATAACAAGTGTGGGTGTTTTGTAGAAAGATGGAGTGGGCAATGGCAATGGAAGGGTACTTGGGGGTCAGGCCAGGGAGAGCTTTGAGCTCTGTGGAAGGGAGTTGGGACTCTGTAGGCAATTTGGGGGATGAGGATGGGCCATGACCAAAACTGGGTTTGGAGAGAGTTCCTGGTGACATGATGGCAAGTGTGTTCCTTCCTGGTTATATGAGCTTCTTCAAGTCACTACATCTCTAGAACTCACTGTCAATGACAGTAAAATAGGGATGGTCCCATCCCACATGGACGCTTTAATGAACTGATGTTTGTGAAAATGCTTTACAAACTGAAGTTGTGCAAGTGTTTTGATTCCATTTCAGGGAACATTAATGGATCAATAAATGCCTTAAGCCAGCCCTGCACTTGGGCCCGGGGAGCTCATCCCCGGATTAAGTGGTGACTGAAAGGAAGAATAGGCCAGAGGCTTTTGCCAAATCCAACTGAAAGATGATGGGGCCTGAGGCTCAGCCTGCTTGCTTTCTTCCTTTTGCTGCTGGTAACTCCCTGCTGCCTTTTCCTCACAAAGGCCCTTTACTTGCTAGTTGTCTTTTCTGCAGATTTACATTTGGTTGGAATTTGCCAAGCAGCTTTTTTTTTTTTTTTTTTTTTTTTTTGCGGTACGCGGGCCTCTCACTGTTGTGGCCTCTCCTGCAGCGGAACACAGGCTCCGGACGCGCAGGCTTAGTGGCCATGGCTCACGGGCCCAGCCACTCCGCGGCATGTGGGATCCTCCCGGACCGGGGCACAAACCCGTGTCCCCTGCATCGGCAGGCGGACTCTCAAGCACTGCGCCACCAGGGAAGCCCTGCCGAGCAGCTTTTGTGAGCTGGCAAGGCTGTGGGCTTGCCTCCAGCTTCCTGCTTTTTAAGTGAGTGGCTTTCACGGCAGCCCCGGACACTAGAAGACACATGTTACTCTGGCATGGGCTGTGGGGCCCATCCACCACTTCCTGCCCACATTAGCAGCTGCTCTTTATCTGAGCAACGTGCTTCCCCTTGCCTTCCCCATCCCTGGAGAAAAAGATTGTGTCACACAAGCACATTTGGGACCTCCGGCTGCTTCCTCAGGTAGATGGTCTGAGTCCAGAGCCTGTGGGGTTTGGTTTCAAGTCCGCCCTGGAGAGTTGGTGCTGGGGCCCAGTTTGGGGTGACCCCTTGGGAGGGGGAGGCACCTCCACTTGACCCTGCAGTAGGGAGCACTTGTGAGCCTGCCCATCTTAGATCCTTCACCCACTGGCATGTGAAGTATGGCGCTGAAGGTTAGAACCCCGGGACAGCCCTGCGCCCCTCCATTTGCCCTCCTGACCCATTTGGCTGCAGCAGACATAAACTCGATGCCCGCCTTGGTGTAGATGGAGTGGGCCAAGTGAAAGACACACGCAGCCCATGTGGTCCCCCCCCCTCTGCCAGCCTCAGTTGATACAGCCATGGGTAAAGAAATGTCTCATTAACACTTCTTAGTACTCATGGGAGAAAGAATGGTGCAAGGGCACAGGAAAGGCCGTGTGAGGAGAGCTGGGTGTGACGAGGACTGTGGTGAACTAGATCAGGAACATCACGTGACCCTGGACCTGCCATGTGGAAATGAGAAGCCAGGATTACCAAGCTTCGACTTTTGCAAGAGAACTTGGGCATCTAGATTTTAATGTAGCATCTCCAATTTAAAAATACAACCAATTCAAATTTCTAAAACAATACTGTGGCTTGCTGGTTTATACCTGTGCACCAAAAGAATGGTCTGCTTTCTTCCCCTACAGGCCCTGGCAGGAGAGGGAGGAGGGAGGAGCCGGTGAGAGCAAGCGGTTAGCCCTGACCTGGGCCCCGTGCTCTCCTGCATCACAGCTCTGGCAGCTCTGCTCAGCTTGCCGTTTCCTCCAGTCGTGGCTCTGCCTGACTTTCCTGCTCCCGGGGCGGGGGTGCCCCTCATCAGCCAATGCAGAGCAGGAAGGCACTCACGTTCTCTCACCTCTCTGCTCACAGAGCCTGGGGTCAACTCTTGAGCCTTGGCACCCAACGACAGGGTGCCTTTCCAGGGTCTAGAATAAGCCCTTTCCGCCCCGCCCCAATGACATGCCCCAGCTCCTGGAACCTGGAGTCCACACCTTGAGTCGCAGAGACGCCCTCCGCCTGTTGTAATGATGGTCCACATCCCGGCTCAGACAGTGTGCTGGCCTTCAAAGTGGGGGGTGGGAGGGGTGTTGGAGGGGTCAGAGGATGAGGTAAAAACAGAATGGATGCCCAGAACCGTGTTTTATTAATCTCTGACCAGCGGAGTGGGCATAGTAAACAGCACTGGACCAATACTGTGCCATCTTGTCTGAGATGTTAAAAATTAGGATCACAATCTCACCCGCAACTGCAGGTTCACCTCTTCCTGAAATCTCTCTTCTCCAACACTGGGTGCCCACTGAGAGGTCAGAAGTTTGCAGCAAGAATTTCCTGCCAGCCTGTAGCTGCTGCCTCGGCCCCTCCCTCCCTCCCCCTGAAGCCCACGCTGACCTGCAGACCCCGCCTTGTGGACTCTCAACACTGCAAGCTGCCTGTCCAGGCCAACGCTGACCCAGAGCATCCTGCCCCTCGAGTGGGCGCAGGGGTGCTCAGTCCAGTGCAGGTATCCCAGTGCTCAGCCGCACCTTCGTTCTACACCGACAGGGGCCAACACATCAACTTTTGGCTGCAATTCCCAGAGAGCTTGGGATCCTGCCTGTCTCCGTGTAGAGTCACAGCCCATGACCCTTTTGCTCCCTCTCACGACATCACACTCATCCCTTCCTGGGAAACCATTTTAATTAGTTTACACAGGCGGCAAAGAGGGAGATACGGAAGCTGGGCCGGCTGGGCTGTCTTTAGAAACTGCCAGGTCTCCCTCTTGGCTCTGAGCAGAATTAGCAGCAATTCTAAGAAGCCCCAGGCCTCCAACAGCAAAGCCAGAGAAAAGTCACCCCCAGAAAGCCAACAGGGGAGGTGGGAAGCTGTGAGTGCTCAGCGTCCTGCAGACGAGGGAGGTGGATGAGGGAAGTGTGGACTCACACGGGGCTCTGAGGCTCCATCCAGCAAGGCCTCCGGCCAGGGCTGTGTTTAAAGCTGGGTTAGGCAGAGATGGGAGCCACAGAGAGGAGATGAAAGGTCTGGCTGGCAAGCCCCAGAGGAAGGGCAAAGGCACTGGGGCAGATACAGCCGCGGACAATGGCCAGCTCAGGCAGGGCCTCTGCAATGCCCACAGCAAACAAGTCCATCCACACAGCTCTGAGGCCTTGGCCTCTTCAGGGCCCCTGTCTCAGCCAAGCACAAAGGCATCTCCCAGGCCAGAAATCAGAGCCAAAGCACCAGCCCTGTCCCACAGCAGCTTGCAGATGTGGGGCTGGGTCAGCATGGGGACCAGGCCATCCTCAGCTCAGTGGCAGTTCTGACAGCTGGGGTGGCATGGAGACCCATTCACCCGGCAGCGGCAGCCCCCGCTGGTGTCTCCCGGGCCCTAGAGGATGAGCGGGGAGAGGAGAAAAGGTCAGGACAGTGAAGACAGCGGGCCCCCCCCTCCGCCATGCACTCCATCACACCCCCAAAGCACAGACTCCCACCCTGGGCCTTGGGTCGGGCACACACCCCTGCTAAGATGACCCTCTCAGCCCCAGCTACCGGATGGAGGCAGCCGTTAAGGCCTTTCTGGGCGGCCTTTCTGGGCTCCCGTAGCAGCCTCAATTCTGTGGTCTGGCTACCCACCCCTAGACCTGGAGCCAGAGAGGACTTGATGGATTTTTGCATATTCGGGGTGGGTCAGCACACTGGCAGCATGAGAGTGTGTTCCTTCAGCCTCCACCTGTATCACTGTCTGCCTGTACGGATAACGCCGAGCCCCAATTCCAGGCACACTCCTCCCAACGACAGCCACCAGGAGCCACCATGCGCGTGTTCACCATGTGACAGATGCCCCGCGCTAGGCACTGCTCTTGCATTTTTTCATTTGATTCTGACAATAAATCTGAGGCCCAGCTATCATCTCCACTTCACAGACGAAGAGACTGTGACTCAGAGAAGGGAGTAACAGCCTAACCACATGGTCAGTGTGTGCCAGAGCCAGGGACCCACCCCTCTACCTCCGACTCCCACCCGCACCCTTGGTCGCTGTCCTCTAGGGCTGGGCTGGGCCAACATTTCTGTAAAGGGCAAGACAGTTCCCTGAGTTTTTGCCGGCCAGTCGGTCTCTGCCTTTGTAGTGCCAAAGCAGCCACAGACAGTATGCAAACGAATGAGCGGCGCTCCCACAAAACTTTACTTATGGACACTAAAATTCGGCTTTCATATAATTTTTACATGTCATGAAATATTCTTCTTTTGATATGTTCAACCACTTTAAAAGATGTAAAAAACGTTCTTAGTTCACGAGCTACACAAATGCAGGCAGTGGGGTTAGAACTGGCCCA